GTACGCCTTATCCGTTATAATTGAACCGCCTTGCTGGAAGATCGCTGTTCAATGAGATTCGACGTGCGAGCGTATGTTTTATCGGAGGAACACGTGGAGCGCGCGTTTATGAATGTACTGGGTTTGTCTAAAAAATAATGGAATTTTTTACAAATTACGTAAGTGATCATTTCCTTTTTTTTTTCCTTTTTTAGGAAAAGTGTATTATTTTAATGGAAACATATCCCTTAGATCTGAGCGATCAACTGACGCGTTAAAAATTGATTGACTTTTTTGTATTATTTTGCAAGGTGTTGCTGTATTCCTTTCATTTCGATGTTTGTACATGAGAAGTAATCTGGCAAAGAATGCAACATTCTTCAATTCGAAGTTGTGCCGATGTTTCAACTGGACTGAAATTTTAATATACGTTAATTTGATTTTTTTTGAGACAGACTTCGTTACATTAGAATAAAACACCTTTCTAAAGAATTCGATACAAAAATGACACAAAGGAATGTATGTAGTGCACGGTCGATTTTCGGATAATAGAACCAATCATCTTTCTATAATTAAACACGTTCCTCAACTTGCTATTACCTACACTCTAAAGTCGACTCTCACAAGTGTCTCTCGAAATTTAAATCTACGGTGAACCACTTGAAAATAAAAATTCCCCTAACGAAATTCAAGAAGCAGCAGAGAGCCGCAAAGCGAAGCGGCAACGAAAATTGACCGTAGAATAATCGAGCAACATTCCACGGATGCAGACATCGCATTTCATTACGATAACATCGAATCGAGATCTGGCTAGCGTATCCAAAACCAATTAAACGTCCGACGTTGTTACCGCGAGAGGCAGGAAACTTTTCGTATCGGCTAGTCGAAGATACGATGCTGGCTTAATCGCCAGGCAATTAAATTTCATTAGCCGGGGAACATTCCACGGTCCAATCAACGCCACTTCCCAACGCTCGAATAATCAACTGTGATAGAAGCAGAAAGGTTCAGAGACACCGTTCCCTCGCATCGATCGTAAAACACCTTCTTTTCTTCTTGGATGCGTAATCGAATGCATACGGACGTACTATTCGTCGTCTTTATACATTTGAATTGCTCAAAGAGAACGTACATACGATCAATTTTTTGCGACACAAATTGTACGAAACGGGCGTCCGTT